CTCTAGTTTTATATATTAAATCAAAATTTACTCTATAGTTTTTCTAATTCTAAACATTTAGAATAACAGAGTAAAATAACTCTAGGATACTCTGATACAAGAGCTACATAACTGAGAAGCCTAGGAAATGTTGCTGGACTAGTTAAATTGATAACAAAGTGAAAAGTAATAGTTCCTAAAATATAAAAAATTTAACTCAATTTTGTCATTAATTGGATTCAGCAATTTCTGGTAACAATGATTAAGCAACAAATCAAGAAAACCTGAATTTTGCTTCATCATTTTATTTTCTGGACCTTTGTTTAAAAATATATTGAGGTGTGTTTTGTTTTTTTATGACTGTTGATAAATGTGGCTGCATTGAGCTTATAACAGAAGATCAATGTTTTAAAATTTGCAACAGTATAGGTTTATATTGATTAATGTAGCTAGGTCAAAATGAGAGATTTTTGTAACAGCTTTCTTAGAAAGGCTACTCTCCACTAATGGCAACCTATCCATGTTAGCTTTCCACTGATAAATCAGCTTGAAAACTGGATGTCAATTTTTTTTTTCATTGAGGGAGTGATTTTTTTCCATGCCCTTTAACCTTTTCTGATATATTAGATTGGTTTATAAGACTAAGCTCTGTCTTACTGAAAGCAGTTGTCAAATTGACATTTGGATAGATTTTCAAATGATTGTAACACCTAATTTTATGTAAGTATATATAATAAACACATGTGTAATCATCTATGATCTATCTACCTAACTACAAGGATTTTTTTTTGAGAAAATTTTAGTTGTACATTCTAAAATTTTAAATTGTTCTGTTTGAGGATTAGAAGTTTAAAGGTCAGATCCTCAACTGGAAGATTAGGAAATGTGCTTCCAGAAGTACTTTAGTTTTCACTGAGTGGGGACAGTGATTGTTTTTCCCTTGTGAATCTTCTCCCCCTCCTTTTTTTTTTCCTTTTTATTTTCTTGAAAAATACTAATGGCCTAATTAATGAATTAATGGCAACTCTCTTATGTTGTTATGTGGTAACTGGGTATGTATTAGTAAGAAAAAAAACAAACAAAACCTGACAGTACTTTATTTCTAAGGAAACCAGTATTGATGACTGGAAATAACACTAGGAAAGATTTTATTAACAGCACAAAAAAACAGGCTTAATTTGGATTTAATGGAGTATACTTCAGTGACAGCTGACAGTGTCATACTTCCACACCTTTATAGCTGACTTTAAGTTAGCCTGGGAAGGTATTGACTGTGAAGTTTCTGTTGTATAATTACTTTTTGCTAAGGAAAAAAATAAAAAAAACATGGTTTATTGATCTAGAAAGAAGCATTTGAGTAGCAGTTTCCCTTGGCTAACAGTGAGTGTCATCTTTCAGCCATGATAAATGGTAACTTTCTGGCTCAGCATAATTGCTTTGTGGTGAAATGAACCTCCTATACCCTTCTCCTTTTCCCATCAAGGAGATACAGTAATCACCTTTATCTGAAAGCCATGATTTACTGAACTAATCATGCTTTAATACAAGAAAATCTTTTCCCTCCAGAGTATGTTCAGTTTTTGCTAACTGAAACAAAAATGCATTATGAAACTATGGGATTTGTAATATTTTTAGAATCTACAAGTATACATTTTTAAATAACCTATTGATTATTTATGACATATGCTTTCCCCTCCATTTCTGGTCTATTAGGTAGCCTTTGCTCTTATGTTGAAGGTAAATTAAAAAAATAAATAGAGATGACAAATTTTATATACTTATTTTGACAATTGGAAGAACCATTAAATAAAAAAAATCGTTTTTCCGAAATTTATGACATTTGGCAAATATAAAAATTTAGTTTATTTAGTTAAAATATGTTTTGGAAATGCTTCTCTGTATATAACATTTTTAAAGAGTATTAAACAACATTTTTATTGTTTAGATTTTTTTTCCTATGGTTCTTACCTCCATTAAGAGCAAATAAGATACCTTGAATGTGAAAACCATACGTTCTCTACCAATTCTGAAAAACGGAGATAATTTGTATTATTTGTTAGCTTTCTGACAAAAATGTTTAATGTGTTATCAGTTTTTCTTTTCAGCCTATGTTATATTTTGCTGAAAATAGATCTCTATTTACTTGCCAATACTTTAATATTGCCCCTGGGTAATGACTTTTAGTTAAGTAATGTTATTTAAAAAATATCTGGCAGTCATTTTAGATCATTTTAATACTGCTGTGAAGGGTTTGGATAAAGGTCATTTTCAATGATTGTGCTTGTTAAATAAATTTGAAAGGTTTCACAAAGGGAATCTTGCTTTTCAGTGTGCTGTCAAAAATTTCCTCTTAGCACTTCTGGGAATACAAAGTAAAAATGTAGTTTTTTCTGCCTGAAAGGCAATATATTTTATATTTTCCTTTTCTTTGTTTATTTTCTTCTCATAATTCTGTTTATTCCCACAACTGAGCACAAAGGTTTCATTTTGTCAGAAATTAGATCCATCACTTTTGACAGCTTGTGAAAACCCCTACACACTAGTATTTCTCCAAACATTTTGAAAGCATAGGTTTTTTGCTATAACTTATTAAAAAGCATTGCTTTTTTTCCCAAGCAATTCCCCTTCTAGTGTAACCTTGGTTCACAGTTTGCTCCCACTCTGACCACAGCTGGCCTTTGCTGTTCACAGTTGAAAAGTGAAATCAATGCTTGGCCTAACAAAATGCAGATGAAAGCCATTCTGATCATATATCGTCATTTCCTGTAACTTTATCAGCCTTCAGTTACTTATGTGATCTCTGAAAATCATGGTTTACTCAAGTAAACCTAGTCCTAACTTCTGTGTTGAGATGTGTTGTCTTCAAGGAAAATAATACGTTTTTAAAGCCATAGGCATTATAAATAGCTAGCTCACCATTATAGTTTGCTAAAACAATTATTGCTTTTGTTCCCTGAAGGAAATATTACATCTCTAACCAAATAATTTATCATTTAATTCTAGAAACTTATACTCTAAGCAAAAATGTATACTCTAAAGAAGCTCCTTTATTCTTATTGCTAACACAATTTAAGATTCTGAAACAAAGAATGCTAAATGCCTCAATCCAAATTATCATTGATCTGATATTTTTCTTAAATATTTATTTGAACAAGATTGGAAGGAAAGCCGTAATGTTGTAGCTGAATACTTCAGAGGTTACAGAACTACAATGACTTTGATAAAAAACAGCCTTTTCTCCTTCCTATTTTAAATTGTTCCTACTTTGATTATAAGCATTTATTATAATTATCAAGAGATTAGGCTGTTGTTACAGAGTCCTTGTAATGGAACCATTTACAAGGAATATAATGGCAGTTTATTGGATTCTGAAAAAGAAAACAGCACAGATAAAGTGGTTCTTTCTGCTAAATGGTTAGACTGCTAGCTAAATATACCACTAATATTATTATTCTGTCTTATTTCATTTGCTTTAGTAGGTTTTGTGACTAAGGGCACAATTTTTCCTAGTAAATAACCTGTCTTCTTATTTTATCTATGGCTTATGTCTTTTGTGGGGTTCCTGCATACATAAATGTGTGTTTGTTTTCTGCAAGAAGGACCAATAAGTAGCCCTCAATACTCTTTGATATATACTCTTTGTTTTAGAATTTACATTTATACAATACTTTTCCTAATATAGCTTTTTAATATTAACTTGTATTTTGATTTTTTAAACTTATTGGCATATAAGATAAATCCATTTGTATATGACTTCTGAGTCACATGTTCTTATTTTTCTAGTTGCAGTAAAATAGTCCTAGTGAAATAAATATCCAGGAAGTTAGCCGCCTTCAGACCTATTCAGTGCTAATATATTTTCTCCCAGAATCAATACAGTTGGCACTCAGGGTAAATGTATTTTGGCTCTTTCCTGATTCCTCAAAGGTAAAATATGATCCTTAACAGTGTGTGTGTGTGTGTGTGTGTGTTTTGTGTGTGTGTGTGTGTGTGTGTTTTGAGACTCTTATCCATTTTCAGACACAAAAAAATGAAACACACAATATTTTGAAAGATACTAAATTCTATAAAGTAGATTTTTCGGTCCTTTCCCAGACTAGCAACTAATGGAATTTCAATGTTTGTTAAAATACTAGCATAAACAAACAACTGGGGAATCCATGCCTGCAGATTAGGCACTAACTGCTAACCTATCAGAAGTCCCAGGATGGGTAGAAGACTAAAGTTCAGAAAAATTGGTTCTTGTGAAGTGGGGGACTGCTGTGGGAAGGCAGTGCTATTTTAGAACTTATAAACGTGCTGCTAGGTATCCTAAGCCTATCTTTAGAAAATTATTTTGCTTTTTATCAAACTAGCAAAGAAGTACCACTTTTTAAATCTCAGATTTTAGATCTTTGAAGAATTTTAAATCATATTATCTCTACATTTTTATATCTCATGTTATCAATGTTCATATTGCTGTTTTGTTAATATTGTTGCTATATATTATAGCATGGAGTAGGAGCAATGGTTTTATTCCTAAAACTTACCTGAAAATGCTTAAATTATTTGTCATCTACCATAAGAAAGCTTTACGTGTAACTTGAAGGTTTCTAGAAATAATAACTAAGTGTAAGGGTGTGTCTAACTTTTTCTTCATTACTGAGTTTTATGTATGTTGTATATATTTGAGAATTTGAAATTGCAATTGTATGCCAGTTAACATAGGTGTAAAAAGAGTGTTAAAAAAAAGGAGAGGCATAATTTAGAAAGACTTTTTGAATAATGAGGATAATTTAAAATGCATAAATTCATTATAAATTCTACAAATTTACCCTGTTTTATTATTTAGCTCCATATCAATTTAATACTAATCTTTGCTTATAAGAATACTAGAGGCCCAATGCACAAAATTTGTTCATGGGTAGGGTCCCTAGGCCTGGCCGGCGATCAGGGCCGATCTGTGGGGCAACTGTCAGGGTGATTAGGTGCCCCCCACTGGCACCAATCTTGGCCAGCCTGGCACCACCCACTCAATGTACCCACTCCCCGCCACCTTGGCTGGCCTGGGGCCTGAGGGCTGGGGACAGCTCCTGCATTGAACGTCTGCCCCCTAGTGGTCAGTGTGCATCATAGCGACCAGTCGTTCCTCCGTTTGGTCAATTTGCACATTAGGCTTTTATTATATAAGCCTAGAGGCCCGGTGCACAAAATTTGTGCCCTCGGTGGGGGGGGGCGTCCCTCAGCCTGGCCTTCGCCCATTTGCAGTCCAGGACCCCTTGGGGGATGTCCACCTGTTGACTTAGGCCCATCCCCCGAGGGCTCCCTGGCTACCAGAAGGATGTCTGACAACCCCGGCCCAGTGGGGTCCAGGGTTGCCGCCTGGCCTGCGCCGGGGCCCTCACGCCTCTGATCGCCACCATCGCTCGGCACAGGCCAGCCGGCAACCCCAGCCCCTGGGGTCGGGTTTGCTGCCTGGCTTTCCAATGGTGATCACCCGCTGCGGGGTGGGGAAAGGCGACCTTTGCCCACCCCCTAGCTCTTGCCTGCCGCCTGGGTTGCCAATCACCATTCTTCAGTCCTTCCCATTTCGCCTCCCATCATTGGGCGTATGCAAATTAGCCGCCATCTTTGTTGG